AACCTTCATTAGCTGGTATGGGTTGGCGTCAAAGACTTTTGGCAGCCGGTGGTTACGTAAAGTAAAAAAAACATTTTTTTATTTTTATAAAAATGCCCCCGCATAGAATGGATAGAAGGTCTGCTAGAATAAAAGCAGAGTTAGAAAGATATGGTTGGAGAGTTTCAAAGAAGTTTAAATATAGGAAGGGAAGACCCATAAAAGTCTATGACAAACTGGCTGGTCTGACCTATGAAATGGACTTGGAAACAGCACGCGCAAATTATCCAAACAGATTAGAGAGGTTAGAAGAAGAGCGTCTTATGAACTTGCCTTTCAATGTTAGTGAGCCTCAAGTTGAAGGACAAGACGGCTTTGCCAGATTCTACTGGAAACATGACGAACAATTGTATCCCTTGAGGAGGAAAAAAGGAAAAGGTGAAGACGCACATGCTCCCATGGAAAGAACAAGATATGCATATGAAAAGTATCGTGAAGTTAGAAGTCAAATTACATCTGGTCGAACCTTTACAGTAAACTTTGACGAAGGAAAGAACAAAGAAGGCTTCATGGGTGTACTTGCTGCCATTCAAGATGGAAATAAGAAAGGATACAATCTCAGATTGACCATAACAGATTTAGATGGTCATATATACTACTCACATGGCAATGTCACAACAGCTGCAATGCTTCTTGACGCTTTCAAGACTACAAAGAGAGAACAAATGGTTGACTCCGACTCAGACATTTTGAATGCAATTGAAGGAATTGCAAGTGTAAAATTTGAATGGTACCAACCTAACCCGCAAGCAGTCAGACAACATGCTGGATACTTCCCGTTCATAAATAAGTCTGACATTGACTTGACAAGGTATGGAATTTACAATTCAATTGAAACAATTGTCAATGAACCTTGTATTCTTACATGTCTCAGGAACTCTGGTCTTGTTTCAGAAGAGAAGATGAAGTATCTTGAGTCATGTGTGAAGACAAGGTACATTCTCAGAGGTCAATTGGCAAAAATTGCACCGTTGGCAAATGTCAATATCCGAGTCAACATTCCGACTGAGAAAGGTTCTTCACATGACGACTATGTTGTTGACAAAGACTTACCATGGTTGAAGATTGTAATTGTCCACAACCACTTCATGTTGAACGAAAGTCTTATGTTCGGAAAAGGCAAGTGCAACATTGTCAGAGCTGTAAACATTCTTTTCGAGAAAGGTTTGTTGGAACCAATTCCAGATGACAAGCTGACAGAAAGTTTTGTACCAAAAGACGAAACAAACTTTTCACTGTTAGCAAGACCAAAAGTTGTTCCAGACAAAGTTCTAGTACAAAAGAAGTACACAGTTCCAAAAGGAGTTGGATTGTTCGGATACCAACCTGAACCAGAAGAACTTCCAATGAGGTTGCAAGAACTTCAAGATGCTATAAACAAACTTCCATTGAGGCATCCAATCGACGTCAAATTGTATTGGAGAGCATCTGAGTTAGGTCAGAAGGTTTTATATGAAACAGGTTGCTTCGACGATGTTTATGAGATAACAGGAGAAGTTTCTCAGAAGATAAGAGACTCGCTTGAATTTCCACGAACTGGTCCGATTGGATGCGACAAGTTCGACTCAGATGAAAAGATATACTATGTCGACCTTAACGCTGCGTACATGAGGTTCGTCCAATATATCCCGACTGGAATTCCAAACGAAGATGGTGAGTTCCCAGGAAGGAACTATACAGTTGGAAAAGTCATACAACAACTGTATGATATTAGGAAAGCTTCAAACCCCAAACTTGCAATGACATTAAAATTGCTTATGAATTCGACATGGGGGTATTCCATTAAAAAACCTCAAGAGATGAAGAGTAAACATTATGAGAAGGTCGACAACTTTGTTGAAAGGTTCTCCCCTTTTGTTTTGAAATACGAATTTACCGAAGGTGAAAGTGGCTTAGTAACCACATTAAAACCTATTGTTGAACATTGGTCTTACCCTCAGTTCGCAAAGGCAGTCCTTGACAACTACAACAAATTCTTCTCCGAAGTCAAATCCAAAGTTGTGGTTTACTATGAGAACATCGACGCGCTCATGACGAACGAAGAAGGGTATAACAAACTCATTGAAATGGGAATGGTCGGTGAGAAAATGGGCTGTTTTAAGCTAGATAAGGTATTTTCCGAAGTTCATGTCCTCTCCAAACGTAAGTACTGGGGTATACTTGAAGACGGCACAGAAATAAAACATTGCATGAAGTAAAAAATTGCATGAAATGGCATACCATTTTAAAACATTTTTTAAAACCATATATTTTTACATATATTAAATGTTTCAGGTTGAAAAACAAAGAACAAAAGTAGCAGATACAAAACCGTTAGACTATATCTTTACAAACGCCGGTAGGACTATTTCAGATGAAGAAATTTCATCCCGTTCATACAGGTTTGACTATCCAATTCGTTGGCTTCAAAGTCCTTCAGATGCAAAGGCAATAGGATTTAGAAGAGTTTTGTTTTCAAATAGAACTAACGCTTTTATGTTTGCAGTATATTTTCATGGGCAGTATGAAGGTTCTGATGGTCTAATAGACAAATTTGACGAAATGAGAATCTTTACAGTTCGTTCAGACGAAAGTCTTGAGAAAACTCTAAATGACTTTCAAACTCAAATAAACAAATACTACTGGGAATTTCAAGAAAAATACGACTCTTTACTAAATGGAACATACTATCTGAAACTAGAATATGACAAGATGAACTCCACAGTTTCATTTCAAAGGATTGAAATTAACCCTCGAAGAAGTACACAGTTTTTATTTTGGGAAGTAGACAAACGTTCTTGGGCGCAATTTCTTCGGTTACTAAACCAGAACGAACCATTACCACCTGACGGTCCGTTTAAATTTATACGCCCACCAACAGATTTGACAGTTTATAAAAACGTGTTTGACCCTCAAAATGTTATATGTCATGCAAGTTTCAGTTCAAGCAACAATAGTTTTCTTTGTATTGGTAAGGACTTTTATGACCTTACCTCTAAATTCTACGAACCACCTAGTAACAGTTTCTCTGACTTTCAAGTTTGGTTCACAACAAACGGTGTGCAACATATTATTCCACTGTACTATGACTTTTATCTCGAATTGTCTTTCATATACAACTACGGAAAAGTGCTGAAAAAGTATTGAAAAATATATTTTAGGGTAGAAGGGTATATCTACCCTCTTTTCTACCCTCTTTTCTACCCTCTTGAATTTTCATGAAATTTGTGCTGAATTCGACAAAAATGAGTTTTTGGTTGAAAAAAGAGGTGGAGCCAAAAGTGGCTTAACCTCAAAACAAGCATTTTGTGAAGAATATACCAACCCGCTGTTTTCCGCGGGTTGCTTTTTATACAAAGTTCAACAGGTGAATTTTCATGAATTTCCTTAAGATAGAAAAAAATATATTTTAGGCGACCAGGTCACTCGGTCACTCGGTCATTTTAACTTCTCTGAAAAAGTGTGACAACATGACATTTTGACAACAACACAGGAAATAGATTTCATCGTATATTTTTTGTTAAGACTTCATCGTAAATGTTTTGTTGAGACTTCATCGTATATGTTTTGTCGAGATTTTTATCGTTGTGGTCCGACGGTTAAGCCACAAACGAATGTCCGACGGTTAAGCCAAAAATATTTTTTATTTTTATTGTACGTACTGAAATGACAGTCGAAGCAAAAACGTTCACGAACAAATCTAATGGCGAAACATTCACAAAAGGCACTTACAACGGTATTGAAGTCTTACGTAGAGACAAGGATGGTTATATAAATGCAACAAAGATATGTCAGCAGTTTGGGAAAGACTTTAGAAGGTTGTTGGAAAATAAGTCCTGGGAAGAGTATTTTAAGGCATTTTGTGAAGAATATACCAACCCGCGGAATTCCGCGGGTTGCTTTTTATACACAGTTCATGCAGGAATTCCCGATGAAATCAAACAGGTTAGAGGAACGTATGTAGACCCAAGACTCGTAAACTATATTGCAATGTGGGCTTCTCCAAAATATTGTATAGCAGTTGGAAAAATTATGGACTCCATAGACAAGAAAGTTCATGAGAAGTTAGATGAAGAAGAACTTGAAGATACAGTAGAGAATGCAAAACCTTTGTTTGAAGAAGAAGTTAGAAAAATGCATGAAAAACAAATAGAACATGAACGTGAGATATGTTCTGGTTATAGAGATTCTCCATACGAACTAGACCAATGGGAACAAGAAGATTTAAAGAGAGAATTTAGAGAATATGAACTCGCTAAGATAGCATTAGAAGCTGCAGAAAAGAAGTTAAAAGTTTGGGGTCGTTTTGTACAAAAATATTGTGAGTAAATGAACCATTTTTTTTCGACAAAAATATATTTTAGGGTAGAAGGGTATATCTACCCCGTTTTCTACCCTCTTTTCTACCCTCGTAGAAAACACACAAAACTCTTGAATTTTGTATAAAAAAAGCAACCCGCGGAATTCCGCGGGTTGGTATATTCTTCACAAAATGCTTGTTTTGAGGTCGAGCCATTTTTGGCTCCACCGTATTTTTAAACCAAACTCGTTCATTTTGTGCTGAAATAAAATAAAGGTAGTCCCACCAAAAAATATTTTTTTATTTTTATTGTAAGAACATGTCAGCAACAACAGCACCAAACTCGTTAGTCATGAACCCAACTTCTATGTTAGTAGAGATGAAAAGCTTCATTCCTTCTTCATATACTTTCGAAACAGAAATCCAGAAGATAAAGCAAGAACTTCTCCAAGGAGATCTAAACTGTAGTGCGAAAGATGAAACAAATGAACAGTATCTTTATGAAATGCAGGATATTATTGACCATCTACCTAAACTTCCTGAAATACAACAACAAAAGCTCACTATTCCAGAATTCGATGAAATAGAAGTGAAACCATCTGACTCAGTTGAAATAAAGAAGTTCATACGTAATGTAAACTATGAGTTTCTTGGATTTCATTACAACCACAAAGACTGCGATATGGTATATTTCATTGACATATATAAATCTGAAGAATTTAAGACCTACGACAACTTTGTTTCGTTAGTTGCTGAGTGTGTCTTGCAGATAAGAGATAAAGATAGAAGAGGTAAGGTATGGAACCAACAGATAAAACCAGCAGCCTTTGAGTTAAAGAAGACCATCTACGCCTTACTTGTTTTAGCAGGACAAATTTCAGAATATAACGCAAAAATGAACTCACAATGTTCAAAATGTAAAGCAGCAACAAGGAAATATAACTACTCCGTCAAAGAGATAGAAAGAATGAGAAAAGACCATACTGACTTAAAGAAAGAAGTAGAGAAACCAGCAGAAGATAAAATGGACATGTTGACATTTCTGAACAAAAACTATCCAACTGCTAACGATTTCCTTCTTTCAGATGTCAAGAAGAAATATAAAGAAACCTTCGGCATAGTTAAAATTTTTGATATCCTTCGTGAAGAAATAGAAGCTACAAAACTGTTTAAAGTCATGAACCATCACAACATATACCATGTAAAACGCTTGTAAATAGTTATGGTAGAAATGAGGGTAGAAAACGGGGTAGATATACCCTTCTACCCTAAAATATATTTTTATTGAATTCTGTATAAAATTCTGAGTAAAATGACATATGGAACACATACTTTTTCAGTAAGGACATATGGGGTAGAAATGAGGGTAGAAAACGGGGTAGATATACCCTTCTACCCTAAAATATATTTTTGCTGAAAAATGACCAAATTTCATGAATTTCCTTAAGATAGAAAAAATAAAGTTATTTTTATTTTTTTTATTTTTTTTATCTTGTATGTAAGAACAGAAATGTTAAACATTGAGTTTGAAACAGTTAGAAAGATAGACAATGACACCAAAGTGGTTAGAATTGGTGATTTAAACGTAAGATACTCAAAGAAATACAAAAAATATTCTTTGTCAGACATTTTATCTCCATCTGGAAAGAGAGCAAAGGACTGGGTTAGAAATGCTTCTAGTCAGAAAATTTTGACAAGAAATCCTGAGCTTTTGATATCGGTAAGATTCTATGGAACTACAGCATATCTCATAGACAAAAGTCTTATACCAATAGTTTTGTTCTGGATTGACCCAGTTGTTGGATATAATTTCATAACATATGGTTCATTCGATACTGAACGTTGCAGTGAAGGCTTACTTTACATCGTTCAGAAACCGAAGGACTTCAATACAAAGAGATATAAGATAGGAAGAACATTTAATATAACTCAAAGATATGACAGTACAGTCAATAGAGTTAAGGTTGCGTTTGTAAATGATATGAGAGCTGCAGAAACAGAACTGCTTGAAAAGTTTGAGAAAATGTATGGTGCTCCCACGAAAGGTAAAGAAACGTTTGAAGTAGATGAGATAGCTAAAGCTATAAAATTATTTGACGAAGTTGCTGAAAAATACATGTAAAGCGTTTATTTTTGGTCTTTTATACAAGATAGAAAATAACGCTAATTTTATTTTTTTTTATTTTTTTATCCGGAATATAAAGACAGATATGTCAACAACAGAGAACACAACAACTGCTATCGTTCATGAAGCTATAAATGAAGAATATGAGTGGGTTCAGTTTAACAAACAACTCCGTCTCATTCGTTCGGTCAAAGACGATATGTACCAAATGCAAAGTATTTTGACAGCATGTTTTGCACCAGATACTAAGCTTCCTAAAGACTGGTTTAGGAACCAAAGCACACAAGAACTTTTGAGCGAAGCACAGCGAGACATACTTTTTTCTGAAAACAGTGAAGAACAGCGAGTGGGAGGGAAACCCCAGTCGCCAAAACTCTATGAAAATCGTGAAAAATTGCCAAATGGTTTGAGAGGATATTATGTTCATAGACTTCTCGTAAATAATGTGGCACAATGGGCTTCAGCTCGCTATTCATGGTATGTTTGTAAACTTCTTGACGAACTTCACAGACAAGAACGTGAAGAGATGGAAAACAAGCTTGAAGCAAAAGACAAAAGCATTCAGAAAAGAATACCACGTTCGGTACCAAAAGGAAAGGAAAAGAACTATAAGTATATGATTTATACTGAAGAGATGGAAAATGAAGAAGATAAAGATATGGTTATGTTGCATTTAGTCAGAAGAAACAACAAAAGCTTTTACGACCTTGCTAAGATTTACAAATCTGACAGAAATTGGTTCTATCGCGAAAACTTACCGATTTCAATGACCCCAAATGAAGATGTGAAACAAATAGTTCAAGATACGTTACCTCAAACACACTATGATATGAAAGGTTGTACAATACTTACCTTCAAAGAAGATTTGCCATTGTTAAAGGAAAAAATAACAGAGTATTTTGACAACTTCAAACAAGTAGAGTAGATGAACCATTTATTTTTCAAGCTTGACTTCAGATGGCTCAGGTAGCTCTATAAGGTAAATTGCCTTGTCAAATCCTTCTGGCATTCCAAGTCCTTCCATCCGACAAGAAAAAAATTTCCCGACAACTGGAAAAAAATTTCCTGACAACTGGAAAAAAATTTCCTGACAACTGGAAAAAAATTTCCCGACAACTGGAAAAAGTTCTTCCCGACAACTGGAAAAAAATTTCCCGACAACTGGAAAAAAATTTCCCGACAACTGGAAAAAAATTTCCTGACAACTGGAAAAAAATTTCCTGACAACTGGAAAAATTTTTCCTGTTGTTCGTCCGTAAACCATTCAAATTTTCGAAAATTGAGAACTTTTTGGTCGAACGACAGAAAAAGTTTTTCCTTCCGACAGAAAAAGTTTTTCCTTCCGACAGAAAAAGTTTTTCCTTCCGACAGAAAAAGTTTTTCCTTCCGACAGGACACAAACGAATGTCCGACGTACCACCAACCGAGTCCATTCCAAAGCCAGAAGAACCGACAGCCCCAGCACCACAACAGACTTACTAAGACTAAACACTTACATTTTTACGCTTGACTTTTTACAATTTGAACTTTGTTCGCGTAGATATGAATTCTGAAAGAAGTATGAGGGTCTTGTATGACTTTGTACTTCTCCCAGAGTTCATGTCTGTCAAACTTACCTGCCATGGACTCTTTCATAAGTTCCATGAAATCGTCTTCGGACAATCCAGGGAAAAGTATGATATCAGTAAGTATTCTTTTAACATCCTTACTTAAACTCTTTGCTGTCTGTACACAAATGACAACAGAGATGTTAAAGTGTCTGAGCTTCTTAAGAATTCGACACATATCTTGTTCTCTGTTCTTTAACAAAGGATGAGAAGCAAAGTCATCTAAGATAAGAAGACATCTGTGAGGGTAAGTCTTCCAATCGTAAGATTGCAATTTCTTCGAAATGTATTCTATCTCTTTCTGTTTGTTTCTGAAGTGTTTCTTCTCTAATATTCTCTGCATTTCCTCATTTGGGTCTTTAAACTTCGAATTGACATACTCATTTATAGCATTGTACTTCAAAACTCTTCTTTGGTACTTCTTTATCCAATCTAACAACTCAGAGTCTTTTATACATACTAACTTAGACTTTTTTATAATATCTTTGAACGAATTGACGGTTTGGTCAAATTGACCAGAAGTACTACAAATGACTACTAACTCATAGAATGGGTTCTTCTCATCTAGTTCTTGTTGTTGTGCAGCCATTTTAAGATAAGTGAAAGTCTTACCCGACCCAGGTGGTGCAATTAGACCTGTTATACCATTCTGAGCAAATAAGAACTTGTCATGTATGGGTTTTATCTGAGCATTTTCCAACTTCCTCTTGTTCTTGTTTAAAACATTCTCAAATTTCTTGTCAATGTCAGCAAACTTTTTTTCTAACATATTTTTAGAAAAATTAAAATTTTATCTTTTAGAAAATGTCTAGCGATTTCGCTATCTATATTCGAGACAAGCTTTTCGACAGCAAAACATCTGTAGACCATAAAATCTTACATAGTGTAAACAAGAAAGGTGAATTTGTTCTAAAGTTCTGTTTCTGGAATATGACAAGAACCATAAAACCTTAAGCAGAGAAGTCTTAAAATTTGTCAATGACAGACTTGTTGACAGAGATGACGCCGATTGGAAAGCTGAAGTCCAACAAAAGTTCTTAGAATGCAAAGAAGACACATGCGCTGTTCTTGAAGATGAAATAGAAAACAGAATAGAAGAGCTATTAAAGGACAAAGACCTTTTACAAAAATATGGTTCTGAGAAGTTTGACATAACTCCACCAGAGAAGAAGAAGAAGAGAGAGAAGAAAGAAAAGAAAGTAGAAGAAGAGAAGAAAGAACCAGAGCCAGTTCCAGAGAAAAAGAAATTTGACATGTAAAAATAAAATTTTATTTTTAGAACATTTCTGGGTCAATGTCAATGTTCTCTTCCTCTTTAGGAGCAAACACTGGCTTAGACTCTAAAATCTTTTTACCCAATTTACCTTGAACTTCAACTATCTTAGACTCATAATATTCATAGTCGTCTGCTTTCTTTGGTTCATAAGGTATAACAAGTTTGTATGCTTTGCCTTCTTTAAGGTTTGAAAACCTTCTGTCAAAATTTTCTTTGACTGCTAACAAACCTTCTATGTCTAAGTCTTCAAATTTCGCACCATTTTTTAGTCACAATAGCAAACTTAACTGGTTCGATGTTCCAAACTTTGTCAAATGTAGACTTTTCAAAATGGTAGAAGTAAACATTCAAATAAGCGAATGGGTCTAGTTCTTCTTTGACTTCTGTCATGTACTTGTTGACTGAAATATATTTCGTCATCTTTTCTATCGGATAAAAAAATATTTTTTTTTAAATTTACTCAGAAAAATTTTTCTTTGTATATACGCCGTTCTGTATGTCTAAAAGATTTTTGACATTTGCCAAGAATGTTCGTTTAGACGCTGCCATATAACCATACTCTTGGCAATATTGTTTATATTCATCGTACAATGACCTTTCATCTAAACACTCAAAGTTAGTCTCATCTATAAACAGTTCATATACACTCTTGTTTGCTTCTAACAATGTTTGTCTTTCTTCGGTATGTGGAATTTGTCTTGGATTGAACTTTGAAATATCTAATGTCATGAAATATGAGAACAAGTGGTTGTAAAAGTCAGATGTCAAAGTTTCTGACAAAGCGTCAAAATATTCTGTATCTTGCATATGAGAATCTGACGTTCTGACAACTACATATCTTCTGTCAGAACTTTCTAACTTCATCGGAACACACATTGTTTTGAAACCATGACGAAGTTTGCAACATTTTCACAAACTCTTTGGTCTTTATATTTTCTTTCAACAACTCCAACTTTGTCTGTTATAAGACTCTTCAAAGCATCTGAGTTTAAAACCTTTGTTGTATCTATACTTTGAAGTTCGTTACATACTATAAGTTTCATATTCTCTATTGAAGAGTTAAATTTACCGCAGATGTTTTCTAAGTTTGTCATATTCGGGTTCGAATAGCCCTCTAACAGTTTGCATAAGATATCTGTAAAGAAAGTGTTCTTACCAGTTCCTTGCTTTCCAATTATAATGAGAGCAGTTTCATTTTTAGCACTTGGATGTTGTAAGATGTTTGCAAACCAACATAAGATATACTCATAAACCTTTTCGTTTCCATTGCATATAATTTCTTTGACATGGTCTAACCAAGCTTCTATAACATTTTCTTTCCATTCTACTTGTTCGTATTTATATCCAGTGAAGATAGAATAGAAGTTTGGAGAAGGTGTATAGAACTTTATACCACGAACTGAAAAATCTTCTAACTTTGACAATAAGATATCCCAAGCATCTAACATCTTCATACCAACTTGTACGACTTTTATTTTCTTAAGTTTCTGTCTACATTCTTGTTCTGAAACTATTGTCGCTCTTGGTTTGTTAAAGACAACATCCCATTCTTTCATGACATAACATTCTGGGGCAGAGTCGACATAAATGACTAAACGTTTCAAATTCTCGACTGCTTTGTTATAGTCTCGAAATGGACACATATTTCTGAACGCTTGGAAGTCATAAAAATCTGAAACGTCTATTCTGTACATTTTTATAAAAATAAAAAAAAATATTTTTTTTATTCTTGACTTTGTTGTTGCATTTGTTGCATTTGTTGTTCTTGAGCTATTTGTTGTTGAAGTTGTTCTTGTAGTACAATACTTTCACCAGTTGCATCTTCCAATTCGAAACTTTCTGCCGTCATTGACAAATACATAGGACATAAAAGTTTTACAGGAACAAAGTTTGCGTCAACTAAGGTTAAGTTTATGTTTGCTAAAGTGTTTGAGTTTACTAAAGCTGAAAACTCTGCATTCGAATGAACAATAGGCAAACCAGCAGAGAAAGTGTTGTTTATACGCATGAGTATCTTTTGGTCATAGTAGTTTCTGTCGACATTCGAATAGCACTTTGAACCTAAGTTTGAAACAATATATAAAATAGGTGTACTTAAAGTCAATGGAACAGACATTCCTTGTATGACACCTTTTCCTGTTATAGGAAACTGTTGGTAGTAAAAACCAGAAATAAGTTTTGTATTATAGCTCATATCGTTTATAGTAAACTCAGTCGGACATCCAAACATAATGAAACCTGCTCTAGTTGCAGCACATGTTACATCCGTCCTTAAAGTATTAAATAAGTCAACAAAACCTGTTGGTGGTATATCTGAGTAAGTATCTTCAAAGAAGTATTTTTTACCATTCACAACAACAAAGTCTTCTGGTGTCAAAAGAGCAAAACAGGCTTTAGTCGTCATCGTGTTTAAGGTCAGTTTACAATATCGTCCTTGAGGACTTTGTAAGTTTGTTGTTATAGAATTATATGACTCAGGGTTTTTAGTCGTAAATAGTATAAACCACTATGTCTTCTGCCATTTACATATATTTAAAAGTTTTTCTGAAAGTGGAGAAGAACTTCATCTAAACTTTCACATGGCGTTTCTTGAAGTTCTCTGTCTAAGAAGTTCAAATATTTTGTAAAGACATAGAACTTTCCTTTGTCTACACGAACAAACAAAACAGGGTCTTTCATATCGTTCAAAAGCGTGTAAAGTCCTTTACATGAAATAAAGTCTATATTGTTTTTCTTCAAACATCTTTCAAGAAGTTTTGACATTTTTACTTAGCAAACAAACTTTAATGAAATGTTGTGGTCGTCAAATATTTTTATGACGTCTGGGAAACTATATTTTAAGTTCAACGTTTCACCTCCTTTCATAACGTATATCTTGTCAATGACATTATATGAAACACCACAGCAAGCAATGTCGGGCTCTATTTCTTTGATGTTTATATCGTCTGCCTCTGTCAAAAGTTTCAATAGTTCTTTCAAAACTTCACGAGGTGCGATGACATATGAGTTCACTTTTACAGGGTTGTGTTCGACCAAGTTTAACATTATACCTAAAGCTTGACAAATCTTCTCCTGAGTTTTAAGTTATCTTTCAGTTGTTTGTAGTCATTTCGAATATCTGCAACAGAACTTAAGTCTCTGCTAACTTCAGGATATGTTGGTTGTTCTTTTACAGGAACTATTGTTATACCATCTTCGTCTTCGTATGGTTTCCCCACTTCAACATCTCTTTCTTTGACATTGACAACAACACTTTGACTGTTTGTTTGAGTTGGTGAATTTAACTTCACATCTGCCACCGCCATTAAACCTTTTGAAACACTCACGCTTCTATTTTTCGGAAATGACATTTTACTTAGAATAAAAAGATGGACGTATTCGAGTATCTCTTCGAATTGAAGCAGAACAAAGTTTACACACACAAACAATACAAGTACATTGACAGAATAGTTCTTTATACAAACAATGGTAAATGTTATAGAATAGCAATATTTGCTGAACCAAAATATTTTCATAAAGCAAAGAAAGTTGGTATAACTGAAATGGTGAAAGTTCTTGACGTTGACAAAAATATAACAACAAAACTTACAGATATTTCTAAAGGAAAGTTTATAATACAATTTTATGTCAAAACTGGCGTACTGTCAATATTTGACGGAGAGAAGTCAGTTCAAGAACAACTTACTGACCTGCTGCCAAAATCTGCTCGATGGAAGCTGTCGTTATGCCAATCTGAGGAGCCCCAGCAGGTTTCATCGAACGAATCTTCAAAAGAGCATCTTCCGTGAAAAGTGCTATTGGTTTTGTAAACTTCTTTGCTCTCAGTTCATCTGGACCGTCTCTGTCACCAGTATATTGTATTTGACTGTACCAACAGTTGAAATACCACCCATAAAGTCTTCTGAGTCAGCAAATGGAATGCCAAGCCAAAAGTTTGAACGGTCTCCATTTGTATATTGAGTTTTTTGACCTCCTGTATGAGTCCATACTTTCACATATGGCATAATAGAACTTTGCATTTCAGGGTTAATGGTTGTTGTGAAGTTGTTGTTAAAGTTCATAGCATCTAATGTCAAGTTGTATGACCTCATATCTTCAACTGTAGAATATTCTTCTCTTGGATAATATTTGCCATCTATGTTTATATGGTATTTAATACCAGGGTTGTAGAAGCAAGAATAGTCATTTATAGTTCGTCTGAACAGTACAAACATAGTATCTGCATGTTTCATTGCAGTTGTTAAAGCAATATCTGTTCTTGCACCTGGGTCAGCACTTTTGGTTTCCAACTTCACCTGCAAAGTCTTTGACAGATATTTGGTGTATAGGGAACATAAGTGGAACTGCAATATATTTGGCAGCTAAAGCATTTGAAATATCTGGGTCCAACATATAGACTGCAAGTCTGCTTTCTATTCTCTTGCATTCAAACTTTTCGCATGTGAACTTAACTGGGTCCCAAGCAGTTCCAGCAGCATTGAAGTAGTAGTTTACTTCAGTGTTGAGGTTTGAGAAACCAAAGTCTAAGTCAACTTTGTCTTTGCAAAATTCGGCGAATGACGTTTGATTTGCTCCCTTTACGTCTGTAAGAGTGAATGGGTCTTGTGTTGGTGCAATGACTAAGTTATTTTTGCTTGGAGTAAGTTCGATAGAAATTTTTTCCTGCCCAGTTTGGCAAGTATCTTAAAAACCTGAAGATGAGGAAAGATGACAAAGGAACTCTAAGTTTCAGTTTTACTTTGGTTACTGCTGCTGCAGTTTGTCCAGAAAGGTCAACATAAACTCCTGGAACGTTAGGGTCAAGTCTTCTTATTTTCTCAATAGTTGCATACTGGTCTGTTTGTTCTCTAGCTTGTGGTTGTACTGAGTTTCTCAAAGCGAACCATTCATAGTTTGCCCATGTTACTGTTTGAACTAAGTCAGAGTTAGAATATATCTTATATCCCATGAAAACTTCTGGAGCATATTGGTATCCGACATAGA